GCTGCAAGTATATAGGGTTTGATGTTAGACCGTTGATTTTGGAAGGCTATTGGTGTTATGCTATTGGTAATTTGGCTTTTTGAAGAATTAAAGTTAATAGGGTTTGATGTTAGACTGTTTGCAATATTTGTTTATTGTAATTTTTTTGATTCTTTGAAATAAAATTTTTCTTTTCTGTATATATATATAGATATGGTTTATCAAGAATTAAAATAAATGTAAAATATATGACATAAAATAAAATAGTCACCAAACATATTTTCTGTTGTAGTTTTTAGATTTTGTAAAACAACTACATTCAAACACGTTTTTTGTTTTAACTTTTAACCACAAAAAAAAAAAACATTGATTCTGTTTTTTATCTTTTTAAAAACATAAAAACGAAAACGTTATGAAACGCACTCTTAGTTTATTAATTCCTAGGTTTACGTTAAAATTTTATATGTTGGTGTTTCTTTATTTTATCACAATGGAATAAAATATAAATTGTCATATGATTTGTAAGTGACACATTCTTTTAATCTTGCTTTATATATTCTCAAATTGACAAAAAAATTTGATAGAAATCCTAGGCCCACATTAAAACCAATTGGATACCAAGAAATACATGGAAGAACTGAAAGTGTATAATAATGTCGAATATTCCAGTCGTTAGTACTTGATAGTAAAAAAGATTATACTTTTAATGTCGGAAGAAATAGTCGAAACACCATATACTGTAAAACATTTGAAAAAATTAAAATATTAAGTGCTTTTTTTATTGGTATTCACTTACCTTTATAAAAAATAATTTAAATTTATTACTTATCAACTTTGTATTTAAAATAAATTAATAGACTAAATTTTTTTCACATGCGACGCACATGTACAATTCTAGTATATGAAAGAAATGTCTAAACAGCCTCACCTAAAAATATAACTTACTAAGTTTTCAAGATTAATAATTACAATAAAAATTAATTATCCAAAACATAATGTAGTATAAATAATTAACTCATGTGCCTAATTCTTCTAGGCGTCGCTTCTATCTTAGATAAATAAACAAATTAAACTTCGAACTAAGTTATAAGGCCTTACCCTGGGTTAGAGGGAGCCTTTCCAGAAATTCTCAGAGGCCAGGGATGAACCCAAGCCTATGAGGGGGTTTGGAAATAGTTTTCAACCAGCAATTGACGCGCCTCGGTTAAAACCTCATTAGCTGCGTCATTGCCCCAAGCGCAAAGATGTTTTCTTTTTGGGCACATGAGCACCCTTTTATTAAACCTTTCTTACTCCCTGGCATATCTTTATCCGATGTGGGATTAGTAATACCTTGCGTCCCCATTAGACTCTTATCTTATGTGTTTCATCTTGCCTTCATAACTTCCTACACGTAGAAACGGACTTTAAACTACACTGCAAGCTACAAACTACAAGGCAAGCCCTGATCTTGAGTCTCTCTTTGTATTCTTTCATTTCTCTCTGGTATCTTTCTTTGTCCTTCAACCCCAAATTCCTGATAAACCTATAAAGCAAAGATTGAAGCCAACAATCATCCCATAAACGTTTTGATTCGATTTTAAAATGATGGAAGGTTTTATTAGTAAAGTTTTTTGAGATTTTCTTAATTATTTTTCAAGCATTCCTACTTGATTCAGATTTCCTTCACCCGTGTGAAACCAATCCTAGACAATATGATAGTGCATGCGTAAGTTTATCAGAGGATGATCTTGTGGCATAAACAAAACTATTATAACTTTAAAACCTTGAACTCTATGGTTCTTAGCTGGCTGCAAATGAAGATATAGAACCGGCAATCATATGCTGAATCAAAAGGATCATCAGCCAAAACAGCCCATGTATTATCCACTAAGGTAAGTGGAGTTCATATGGGTCACCCATGGCCAACACCTGTCGAAAACCCCATGGACCTGGAAAATTCATCACCACCTCAGCCACAAGCTTTTCTCCAGCTAGCAAAACCCACAAAAAAAAAAAAGACAGTCACCACTTCCACTATCAAATGTCAAACTCTACACGTTTTCTTCACCAACCTCAGCACTAATAGACAATTACAAATATGTAAATCTCCATGCAATGTCTCTCATGCAAAGCCCCTCAGCCCAGGAAACCAGTAAACGTTGACTTTCTCTCTCATCCTCGAAGAGTTTCTTTGTTACTAAGAGAGGCTTCTTTATTACCTCTGCACCTCATAAAACATCACAGAAAATGGCTTATGTGAAGTCCTTTGCATTTATTGCAATGCTTCTTGCAATTTCTGTTATTCAATCCGAGTGCAGAGTTGCAAGAAAAGACTTGGGGGTGGATCTTGGTGGTGTGGGAGTTGGGGTTGGAGCTGGGGTGGGCTTGGGACTTGGTGGTAGTGGCTCAGGATCTGGAGCTGGGTCAGGGTCGGGTTCTGGCTCTGGTTCTAGTTCTGGGTCAAGCTCAGCTTCCTCATCAGGGTCATCTTCGGGTTCTGGATCTGGAGCAGGATCTGAAGCGGGTTCATATGCTGGGTCTAGGGCTGGTTCGGGATCAGGCAGCAACCATGGGAGTGGAGCAGGATCCGGGTCGGGTCGAGGTAGTGGACGTGGGGAAGGATATGGTCAGGGGTCCGGCAGGGGAAGTGGTTCTGGGTCGGGTTCTGGCTATGGTGAAGGCCATGGTGAAGGTGAAGGTGATGGTGGGGAGTGAGAAGAGAAGGTGTATCTACTGCTAATTTAGTAGCAAAATAAATAAGTATGGACATTGTCACCATCTTTGTAAATAAATAAAGTGGTGAAACCAGTCTCTGTGTAATATATAAATGAGTTATAGACATAAAGTTACAATAAGAATATTGTTGGTATTGCATGCTTTCTTCTTCGTGTTCTTTAAATTTGCTGCAAAGTTTTGTCCATCTTCATCTTAATTTTGAAAGTAACACTTATAACCTCAATATATATGGAAATGTCCAACAATCGTAACAGCATTAAGCAATATGGAATAACAACACTTGAATTCACGATATATATATATATATATATATATATATATATATATATATATATATATATATATATATATATATATATATATATATATCTTTGAACAGATGAACACTTGTTATTGTTCTAAATTCAACTATTTATCAAAAAGTAAATATCGAAATTGTTATTAAAACAAATAAAACTTTTATTGGTTGATTGATAGAGGACTGCAAAAATTAAATAAAATGGTATTTTCAACATAGACGATTTTTTTTTTTTTACATTTATTGCAACAAGTGCAATATTAGATTCAACAGACTTCTTCTTACTATTACAAGAACCAAGCACACTTGGACCTCTTTTGTGTGTGTGTGTTGGGGGGGGGGGGGGGGGGGTTAAGTCCCTTGGTCTAAAATTCAGAGGACCGTTCAAACAAAAAAGAAAGAAGAGGTAAAAAATTAAGAAAAGAAAAAAAGATATGGTGCAATGTATGTGTAATTACAGAAATTGAGAAGAATATCCTAACAGTAGGAGTCCAAAGTCATGTGAAAGCACAGTATATATGTTAGAATTACAATTCATGAGTTGAAGAAAAACTAACAACTTTTGTTCCTAACTGAATAAGCACCGACAAACTTTAATAAATTTTTATGTTGATTTTTTTGGCTATTCATTTAGGACTGCAAAGTGTCTAAACCATTGACTTCTGCCTTGATATTAGTGGTCGATTAAATATATATGCACGGGTTAAACTCGTACAACCAATGAGATAACAACATTTGAAAAGTTTTTACTTGTCCGTTAAGAAGGGTGACAGAGGTTTCTTCGACATATTTTTTACGATGTTCAAGTCAGTTCATGGAGAGAGAGAAAAAAGGGGCATGAGGTGTTGTGTTTAATAATAAGTTTCCATCCAAGCACTTCCGTTTTGGACCTGGACTTTTCACTTGGCTTTATTGTTTCTTCTTGCCATTCCATTGCCAAATGTAGTGTTCAATTTCTTCCTCTTCGATAATCCAAACATGTTTCTAAAGAAGTTTAAGAATGTGAAAGAGATTTGAGATTTGGATATTCTACACTATCCTTTCAATGGTTTCCTGTCCACTATGGTTGAGTGGAATTGTGGGTCGGTACAGTCCTAATGATAATGTTGGCCATTATATGAGGAGTCCTCCAACACACTCTCCACTGCATGTCTAAGTTTTCTGAACCACAAGCTTTGTTTCATTCTCTTTCTTCATGTTAGGGACAATGAAGCCACAAATGGCTTCTTCTTCTTTTTTGACACTGTATCTATGGTGTCAACACCTGGACTCCACTGAAGTGAATTCCACAGGTATGTGTTTTGGGGTTGTTGGGCGGTGTGTGTGTGTGGGGGGGGGGGGTGGTAAAGGGGTGTAGGGTGGAAGATCACATTGACTTTAATAAAGAGTTGTTTAAGTCTGCATTTTGTATTGTTCTGATCCTCATTCTTTTAATTTTGACATTTTAGGCGTTAAATTTTAATTTGTGTCACTTTAGTCTAATAAAAAGACGTTGATTGAAATTGACTAACATAAGTGGTCACATACGTCTTTTTCGATTTGACAGAGATTTTTAATTTTCTTGGAGGACTCAGCACAACAAAAGTGACAAAATAAGGACTAAAAATAAAACAAATTATAAACTAAAAGGACTAAAGTGACCTATTAACACGTGACCACCTTAGTTGTTAGTTAATTGGCACCATCGTTTTTTATCGAACCAAAATAATACAAATCAGAAATTTAAAAGACTAAGATGATAAAATTAAAAGTACGAACAAACCACGTGTAACTTAAGGATCAAAGTGGTGAGCCCATTTTAGGGGTGAATAGTATAATTAATCTTCTTTTTATTTTAATGCAGTTTATGCACGTGTATGGACCATCCATTAGCATATGCAACTATAAATGGCAGCTCTTTGTTCTTCATTGTCACCACCACACAAATAAGCCTCCAAACACTACTAGCTAGTTCTTGCGTTGGAAACATTGTTTTTGCCATTTCTAAACCTCTTTGGCTTCAAATATGGCTCATTTGAAGTCATTAGCTTTCAGTGCTTTGCTGGTTTCGACCTTTTTTATGGTTTCCCAAAGCCGAGTGGCAAGAAAAGATCTGAATTTGGACTTGGGTAATGTAGGGCTTGGGCTTGGAATAGGCCTTGGATTGGGAGGTGGGAGTGGTTCGGGTGCGGGCGCAGGCTCTGGCTCGGGCTCAGGGTCTAGTTCAAGTTCTAGCTCTAGCTCGTCTTCATCATCATCGAATTCGGGTTCTGGCTCGGAAGCAGGCTCGTATGCTGGCTCGAGAGCAGGGTCAGGGTCAAGTGGTAATCGAGGAGGAGGAAGCCGTGGCCAAGGTTCGGGGCATGGGTCTGGTTCTGGATATGGCGAAGGGTCGGGAGAGGGATCTGGCAGGGGAAGCGGGTATGGTGAAGGTGGCGGGTATGGGTCAGGTTCCGGTGGGGGTAATGGAAAATAAATTATATCCCATAAACAAAATTTGGCTACAACTTTGGAGGAATGAATAAGTAACATGAGCAAATCTAAGTACCATGTAATGTGTGTTACTACTATATTATATGTAACATGTGTTTATGATTGTTTCTGTGTTTATCTTATCTTTTAGTAAAAAGACTTGTAATTTTATCCATGCAGACTTTATATTATCTCATTAAAATGCTAGTAATTTTCAATCATTTGATGTCAATTTTGTCAAAGGTTAGAATTTGGATTAGATTTGTGTTGGTCCGATTCAAGTCCGTTAAAATTTTTGATTTGACTATCCAACAAAATTTATTTTAATACGGATCCATTGAAAATTGAATATCCTATCCCAATAGATTACATGCACTTGATTTTGGTGAATTACACACGAATTGTAACTAAATTTTAGTAAATAATCACTAAAATACATAATATATCTATTTACTGATATAAAAGTTGAATCAATTTATAATTGGATTTGATATTAATAAATCTCAATCCATGAAGTAGATTTTGCGAATTCAGATGTGGATAATTCATCAAAAAAACTATTGTACATCTATAAATCATATTCAAATTCAAATTTAATTCATTGACAAATTTATTATTTATTGGGGCATAGCTAAATTTTTCTCCGAGTTTGAATGTGTTCTCAGCTCCTCTTAGTTTATGGTTTGTTCATATACTCATCCATATGCTTATATTATATGGGTACAAACGTCTATTGTATGAGACAAATTTGTATCCAAATAATGAATTTGAAGGAACAATGTCTTAATTGATTCAAACAAGATATGGGAAAGGTGCTAATGTGTAATAAGTTATGATATTTTTGTTCAATCTTTGATCCAATAATACTAATTTAAGTACAAGTGATAATGATTCAAGTGCAAAGCATGTGTGCATCAACTAGTATCTATAATATAAAACAGGCTTCAACAAGCCGATCAGACGATCTTCATTCATCTAAAAGCGTCAACATCCAAAAGCTCACAATACATCTCATTCAAATTCAAAAGTCCATATATTTTTCCCCTAAATCCATCTCATTCAACTTAACCCAACCCAACCATCACATCCAACCTAACTTAACCAAACCCAACCCAACCCAACCTAACCCAATATCTATTCTCTCTCATGTCCTCTTCCCCCACAGATCGGCTCTTCCCCCATATATGTTCTCTCTCATGTCCTCTCTCTCCCAACGGCTCTTCCCCATATCTCTTATCTCTCATTTCTTCTCTCTCATCTCAATCTCTTCACTATCAGAGAGCAGACGGCATCTCAATCTCTTCATTGTCAGAGAGCAGGCGGCGAGACAGTGGTCACTTCTCCAAAATTCATGGCATGGTCGTTTCCCCCCTACCTTCCTCTCTCTTTCCCATCCCTATCCCCTTCCCCTCCCCCTAATTTTCTCCCCAAACACTCGGTCTCTCTCTCTCACCATCACCAAAGCTAGAGGCAGAGCTAGAGAAACCGCGCCACAACACCCTCTTCTCCCAATTATCCCTCTTCTCTTCTTCTTATCTCCCCATCATCCCTCTTCTGCGCAAAAAATAAATCGCAAAAATCAGATCGCAAGAGAAACCTTATTGGTGGTTTGATTTGGAATAATTATGATTGGGGTCTGGGTTTTGGTATATATAGATCTTTGGTAGTCATTACCTTGTGTATCTGGGTGTGCTATTAATTTGCAAGTTGGTAAAACCATCCTAGGTATTTCTCTTTATCCCCTCCCCTCCCCTCTTTGTGTTTTTCACTGAAATGACCAAAACACAGACCCACATCATAATGCTCATGAACTGTTTGATTAAATGTCTAAGAGACACACACACGCAAATCACACCCATACCCAAACCCCTAGCGATCACACACACAACCTCTCAGCCAACATAGAACACATGCACACAACAAGCATTCACACACACTCACATTGTCTGCACACACGCACACACACACACACTCACACTGTCTACACGCATTCACACATACAACCACTCCTCAGTCACACACAGAGTATGAGTTTGGATGTATTTTTTCTACCATTTTAAATTTTTTTATGCAATTTTAAATGTGTTGTGAATTGAAGTGTTATTTGAAATTGGGCAATTTTAAATATGTTTAAGCAAAGTTTTTTTTTTATGTTTTATGATGTGTTATTTGTATTTTCCTTACTACAAAAACTAATTGGTTGGACATTCTGTAGGGAGATCTGGGGATTGTAGAAATGCACATTTTTAGAGTTAGTTTTTGAGGGAGTTTGGGTGTGTAATATTTGGAAAATTGAAGGCATGCTTGGTTATCAATTTGGATTTCCAAAGCTTGGTGCTTTCGAAAGACGCAAGTGTTTATAGCACTTGCTTTTGGTTATACCAGTTTATAATCTGTTGTGTTTGGAATTTGAGGCAGTGGGGGTGTTGAACATTTTCGATTATTTGATTGCTAATGATGGCGAAGATGAAAGTTTCATCAACGAAGTTGGTGTTTTTTGTTCTAGCTGTTGTTCTGTTTGGGTTTACTTGGTTGCCTGTTGATCATCACAAAATGTCACCTTCCTTGGTCAGACCTATGTTCCTAATTCGGTGCCACAAATATAATCACACAGCATCACTGTTCATATAGGAATGAATTTGGACTCTAGAGATGTGTTAGGACTCTAGAGATGTGTTGGGAAACCCATAAGAGATAGCATGCTTCACTGTTTTTTGCTTTTCCTTTTTAGCAAGAGTTTGTTTAAATTCCTAAGAGAAGTTTGTGCAAATATTTGACATAATTTTGGTTACGACTTTGGAGTGACCTTTAGTTTGTGTGTTCTAGACTTGATTTGGCAAATGGTTACCTTCCTAAGTATTGGCAAATGTTTTTGATCGTGGTAGAAAAGAAAATATATTTTTTCCGCTACGACAATCACATGGGCATACTAAGATGAGAATGGGGATACTAACTCTCTTTTATGTACCAAGAAACACATGGGCATACTCCTCATTAGCATCGTGAATTTTATTAAACGAAAAAAAGAATTGAGTAATCTGGTTAGAAAAAATTGATAATGCATGATAGGAGCTCAGCCTCATCGGTGGTTGAGAAAATATTATACACAAGTGAGTCAGTCATATTTGAATCATATGTGGGTAGATTAACAGTAAAGAAACATTGTGGCAAATTGAAATAAAAAAATGAAAGAAATACCACACTTCCTCTGTCAAAGTACTCTAAATGTTTTAAATTTTGTTACAATGCCTCAATGATCAAGTTCTCAATTTTTAAAAAAAAAATTTGTTCTTTAAAGTTTTGTTTCTTTATGATTGCAGCCTTGCAGGGTCATATAAATTGTAAGGAACACAATTGTTATAGTTTGGAGAATATTGAGGAAGAGACTCTTTTGTGGTTAAGACATCTTAGTTTGCACAATTGAAATTGTTAGATGAGTAATATTGTCAACATTGAAATTGTTTAAGACATCTTGGTTTTTGCTTTCTTATTCCTATGAGATTTAATAACCTTGCAGGTTAAATGTTCTTGATAGCTTGCTTTTTTAAAAAAAAAAAAATTAACGTATTTGGGTAAAATTTAAATGGATGTCGACAAGATTTCTGTATTGGTGAATTTGTGTCTTTCTTATGCAATGTGATAGGAATATAAAATTAAATGACTACTTAGGTTGATAGTTGAGTTATGACATTTTGGACATGTTGCATTAGTTGGTAAATGATTGTATTAACATATAACTATGACACGATAGTGAGTCCAATAGTTTGTTTGGGATATCATTACACAAACCATATACATAGGTTGATATTATTTGTGAGGGTCTTCTTTTGGAGAAATTAAGTCAAAAAGTTGTAAAAAAATTATTATGTCACATGAAGATTTGCTTTGGTGAAATCACATGGGACAATAATGGAATTTCTTTTACCTTAACCTGATTTGTGATTATCATTTTTTGTGTTATTGTACTCAAATTCTCAATTCTTGCTTTTGGATTTGGAATCTATTGTTTATTAACTTAGAATTGGTGGCTCATTGTTTAGATCTATTTGTGGGTTTTATCGTTTATCTTAGTTGGGGCGTTGACAAATCTTGGTACAATTTGGATGAGAAATTGCAAACAACTAAGGTCCAGGAGATGTCCTGTGCAAAGTCTTGTTGGTAACCATTAAGAGTGTAGAAGTTGGCCATGTTAGCATCATTGTTATTCACTTGGTAAGTTGTCCTGTGTATATGAATTTGATGTTCTAATAAACTTGGTTACTTTTTGGATTTACATTGTTTGGATTGAATTTTGCATGATACATGTTGTAGTGAAACCCAAAACTAATTTGAAACGTAGGAATTTCTATTGAAAAATAAAATCGTGGGTTTGTAGTTAAACTCATATTCTAAGTGCAGTGCATTTGTATTTTAAGTTTTTTATACCTTCAGTTGGTGCATTTTCATAATGCTAAGAATGTTTTGGCAAAATACTCTATTGTGGTATGGGTTAACCTTTTTTTTGTTTGTTGCCATGCTGGAAGTTACTTATTTGGTTTTTATAGTACTTTGATCCTTGATTCTTAATTTCTTTCTCTTCTGGTTAACTTATTTTCAGGTTTTACAGTACTTTTTCGGGTAAGTTTTTTACAGTACTTTGATCCTTGCTTCTTAAAGGAACAAAATCAGCATTGACAATAATTGTTGCCCTTTTTAAGAGGATAATATTGTTTTTTTTTTTGTGACACAGCTGCATGCATTGGGTTATATAACCAAGAAACCTAGAGAATAAAATCAATATTAATTGAAATTTCTGCTTGATCATAGAGGTGAGTTTTCTTACTTTTGGTATATCTTTGGCCCTTCTTAATTTTGTGACTTTAATGGAACTGAATTTTCTGTTCCAAATAATTTGAAACAAATTAGTGTTTGAATATCGAAATACTCTAGCATGGCAAAATACTGAGCTTTGGTAGTGAGCATGTTTGATCGTATTCCAACAGCGCTTTAGTAGTCGAATCGTATTTGAGAAAAGTTGTGGTTACCTCTTTTGATTCTTTCAGCTCTTTACCTATTTGGGTTTAATTATATTTTTTTGTCTACTTTTTTAAGTTTTATTGCATAATTAGAGTTCTATTGCACCTTTTTTGTCGCGATTTTTTAGGTTGTTCGATTTTTATATTGGACCATGCCTTCAGACTCGGATTTTTTTGATTATTTGGTAGACAAACATTTGGAGCTTATTTGTTGCGTATCTTTTGAATCCAAATAATTAGACGAAGTTTTAATTATTATTTTTCACAAAATTTTAATTTATTCCAAGGGCAGATAAATTCTAATCTTCCATGGGATATTTTGATTACTTTAATCACTTTTTGTAGTATCCTTACTCTAAAATCAGTTATCATTCCAACACTACTGTGGATATTACCAGATCAGTGCCCACAATTCAGTGGTCAAGAACCATACTCATTTGGTGGTATATTAATTTTCTAGGTACACACCCTCTTTCACTCTATCTCTATCTCTCTCTCTCACTCTCCCTCGCAAACACTAGCAAACACACACACAAACCTCACCCAAACACAAATACATGAGCACACAACATAGGGTGAGAGGATGGTGAGGAACTAAGGAATGCTAATGTCTGTGCATATGTGTGTCCGGTTGAAAATATTAAGTTCCAAAAATGTTGTGCTTATGATTTTTGTTAAAAATAGTCACCCATGAAGCATTCTTTTTAAAATCATAAGCAAATATATGTTTGTGCTTGATTTTTTTGCTCGATTTTTAAAGTTAATAAGATTAATTAGTGTACTTTGACTCGAGTTTGTTTGATAGGTTTACTTTGACGGTGGAATAAAGCTTTTCTTACTTAACAAAAAACATGGACATTTTTTAATGGGACTACCAAGAGCTGTTAGTCAGATGCATTTAGTTTTAAAATGCATGCTTCATGGATGTACGAAGTTTGGCATGTTTTAGGTGGAAGCAATTTAAAATGCATGCCTATATATATCACACTATTTTTTTTTCCCGAATGTATGATTCTTTGTGTTATGTAAAGCCTTTCAAATTAATCTAGAGTAGAGCTTAGTAAATCTAATAATTAAAACTTCTGTTGAATTAGACAATGCCTTTAGGCACGGGTTAATGTGTGTCTAGGGATATAAGACCTTCAAGTTTTCACATTTCTAATTAGGTATATAATTTCAAGTATATGAATTTTATTAAAGTTGTGTTTTCTCTATCTCTTTTTTGAAATTTGTCTTCACGAGAATCTTCAAATAGTACACCCTTTCACAGAGAGCTGCAAAGAACAAATAAGTTGCACAGAAGAACATTCTTAATGGATCATACTTCAATGTTAGGCAATCATACACAAGGTAATTTTATCGAGAAAAAGAAAATTAGAACTGCATGCAGGAGGCCTTTGCCCATCTTTAGTTGATATAAATGGAAATACTGCAGAGAAAATTTTTTCATGTCTAATATATTAGTTTTGCTCATTGTTGATGTGAACGTGATCCCCACAAAGTTGGAATTCATGTTACAAAAATACACTCCACATCCCATAAACCCTTTCATAGAGAGCTGCTAAGAACAAATCAGTTGCACAAAAGAACATTCTTAATGAATCAGAATTCAATTTTAGGCAATGCTATGCAAGGTAATTTTTTTGAGACAAAGAAAATTAGACTGCATGCAGGAGTTGGAAATTTTCTGATTCATTAAAATTTTCTGAAAATTAGAATGTTACCAACCCTACCTTTGCCTATCTTTAGTTGATGTAAATGACAATACTACAGATAAATGTGTTTCAAGCCACCATAAGCTAAACAAGAAAATGTAGTTCAAACTAAGCATCAGTCCATGTGATATCCAAACTGCCCCAGTTATCCTCAGGCACACCTAAGGCTTTCCACACAACTTTATAGGGTTTGGATTAATTATAGAGATTGTACTTGTATGTCAATTAGTAGGAATATGTGTATTTAGCGAATATTTTTAATTTTTTGATTTATTCTGTTTCTTATATTTGCAGCCATCATAGTATACTAACCATCACTGCAAACTCTCAATATTGAAAAATGAAAGATCTCACCATTTTTGGTCGTGTGAGTTTAAACATCTTCTATTTTTTTATTTTTTTTTCGGCACCGAAAAATATTCACATATTTATTTCACTTTATTTTCACGCATCTTTTTACAGATTGATGAAGACTTAGAGCAAACCGTAAGATGAGTTTCATATCACTCATATTCTTAATAATTTTATCTCATATAGTTTGTGTTCATTTACCTGTTAAATGCATATTCATGTATAAGTTCAATTGCTCAAGAAAAATAATGTTAGTGTTGTCATCCGCGACGAACGCGAACTCAATTGCATTCTCATTTCTGAGGTAGTGTCATGACACATCAATTTGTTTATAGATTAGACTTCTTTTTTTTTATATAATGATTTCACTTATCTATGTTTACTATCTAAAAGGCAAAAGAAAGAACAGTCGTAACTGCAAAGTGTAAAGGAAAAGGAATATCAACCTCTTTTGACAAGGAAAAGGTAAGTACTTTGTGCCAAGTGGTATTACATTGTTAACATTTTAACAATGTTATTTTATTGATCTAACGTTTTGTTTATGTTATTTCATCTATAGAATTGGGATGAAGCAGTGCAAGAGTTAAAAAGACTAAATGCAATCCATCTTTTTCGATGGGGTTATTTGAATAAGGTAACTAAATTTATTTTTTATAGTTTATTTTAGATTTTCAACTTTATAATTTTATAATTTCTATCGTGTACTAAATTTAACTGTTTTTGTAAATGCTAGCTTGTTGTACATTCTCCCAGTTGAAAGCTACGGATTTGGATTGATACAATTACATTCAAGGTTGTGATGGAGAAATTGTTTTTAAAATGATGTGCAGATAAATGAATTTAGTCTATCTGGTGCAATTTAAGCTTGATTATTTTGATTTATTAAGAGTTTTGATTATCAAAGTTAAACAAAACTTTGATGTTTCCTTTTTTATAGATGAACAAGGCTTTGATAATTGATGAACCCATTGATTACCTCAAGCAGCTTCAACTTCAGCTTAAGGTGCAGGTTTGTTGTTTTCTTTTAAAATATTACACTCATGGTTGCGACAATTAAGTCCAATTATATTTTTTGCTTTAACTTAAGAGAGAAAATTGCATCTTCTACCAATACAAGCCTTGAATACTCACTGCCTTAGTGCACTTGAAGAATTTGAGTTGGTGAGTTGATATTGACATTGACTTACAAATGGTGGGAGAGTATTTTGTCGTGGTGTTATGTTTGAGATTATTTTTTTGGTTGACTACTTGGGTTTGTTGTGTTAAGAGAGATATTTAGGATCATAGAATGTAGTTTTCTAAATTGGAATGGTCGAGTCAATTTTATTTTTCATTTAGTAATTTAATGAATGTGGATGAATTTATTTGGGTTAGGTAGGTTTAAGTAATTAAACAAAATGTGTTAGTCGTGTTTAACACATTTTATAGATTGTTGGCAATCCGCAATGGATTTATCAATGTAAGTGATTAAACAAATTGAAATCAATATAGACAACTAATCTAAAAAAATATATAAAACATATATAATTAAAAAAAATACGACTATCACATTTTGTTTAATTACTTATTTGGCAATCCACAATGGATTTATCAATGTAAGTGAGCTTTTACCCTGTTCTTATACCTGCGTGTTTAACATTATATAGATTGTTGTTTAGGCCGGCACGTGAGAGCTTGAGGTTTATATACACACTTTCTTGGTCATTATGCGCTGGTTGTCTCTGCATGTTCGCCGTGTTCATGCCCCACAACAGCTTTTGGATGTATTTGTCTAGTCTGCAGCTGATAAAAAAAAATTGTGATATTTTGGATGTATTTTTTTGGTAAACATATGATATGGTGGATATATTATGTGTAGTCTAAATACGCTTGTGAATTGTTCCTAAAACTGTATCGTGCACTCAAGTGTACATAAAACTACATTTTAAGGGTAGACACCAACTTAATTTCAAACTACGATGTGCAATTGCAGTTGTGTTGTGCCCTTGGGCACGGGTTGTTGGGCATGGATTGTTTGATTTTTGGGGATTGTATTAGTTACATATACAGGTTGACATTTCCATGGTCTCCTATTTTTAAAGAAAACTCTGTCGAAATTTTGCAAAAAATAGCAGGTTATTATTATAGATTAGATTGATGTAACTTTCTTTAATTATTTTGCAAAAATAATTAAAATTTTGCCTTTTCTTTTGCATTCTAAGATTTGAACGATCATGTGAAATTCCTTATTGTTTTGGTTGTTTTGTTCATCTTTCAGTTCTGTATATAGGTTCATATTTTCAAAAGAAATAATGTCAAAATTTTGAAAAAAATATCGGGTTGTTAGTAGATTGATTTATTTATGTGACCCAAAAAACAAAGTGTTATGTTGAGCGAACAATTCACAAGCGTATTTAGTGAGTTGCAAAATGCCTTCAGTCATGGATTGTTTGTCGTAGTTTTTTCTTTATGTGTTTGTTGTGTGGACTAAGTTTGGTAAAGTGAACACAATACCCTTGGAATTGATGGTTGCCAAAGTTTGACAGGCTTGGAATGGTGATTTTTGGGGAATTTTTATTGTGAATTCTGATTATTGTTTATGTCAGATTGTAAACTATAAATTCAAAAGACTTTGAGCTTTGTAAACAAGTTGTAAATTTCTTGAGCTTCTATTGTTAGAGTAATCTTCGTCAACATAGTAATTGCCTTTTGCTGTCAAGTTGTCTATATTGATTTTAATTTCTTTAATTAAAGCAAATTAAAATAATTATTTTTTAAAATTAGTTGGTTGGTTTACATTTCACCGTGCTTTCAGGCACGGGTTCCATATTTTCAGAGGATACTCTAAAATACTAACACAAATACTGACACAAACGAAAATGACACGATCTAAAATTGAAACGACTGAAAATGACACGATAAGAAAATAACATGATACGACTAATGTCGCTTTTGCCAAAAAAGAAAACTAGCATGGTGGTCTAGGAGAAAGGACTATGCTCATGGTCAAGGGCTTTAACCAAGCCGGCCCTTACTATCAAGTGGACAGATATGGAACTTTCCCAACGAAAATAAAAGGCCTAAAGTCATATTTTAAGATGATATTCTGTCGAAAAATTGAAAGTTTTTTTTATAGAGTGTCCATATTTTTATCCTTTTTATTTCATTAAAGTCATAACATTAAAAATGACCAAACGATTTTTAGCTTAATGCATGGTTATATTTCGTGTTTAAGAACTATGCACAGTGCCTTCAAACACGTGATATATGGCGACTTTAGGCCTGTTGTTCTGTGCTTGATTATTCAATGTTCGATTTTTTTTAATTGCACAATGCTTTCAGGCACGGGTTATCCCTAGTTACTTATAAATGTCAGCATGTGTAAAAAAATTTTGATTTCCTGTTTCACCCTTAATTATTACCATAAAATCAATTATACCCACATATTTTTCAATCTTACATAACTATTTGACTTCCAAAATATTAGCTAGATAAATTTTATCAAAATATTATCTAGATAAACTTCATCAAAATATTAGGTAGAGAAACTTTACCTCTATGAGTTGGTAGATAAACTTTATCTCTAAATGTTTTCTTTTCCATTCAATTTTACAAACTTTACTAGAATTCTAATACCACCAATTGGTAATTTTTAGGTCCCATTTGACTTCCAAAATATTATGTAGATAAATTTTATTAAAATATTATCTAGATAAACTTCATCAAAATATTAGGTAGAGAAACTTTATTTCTATGAGTTGGTAGATAAATTTTATCTCTAAATGCTTTCTTTTCTATTCAATTTTACAAACTCTACTAGAATTCTAATATCACATATTGGTAATTTTTAAGTCTTATTTGACTTCCAAAATATTACGTAGATAAACTTTATTAAAAGCTTATCTAGATAAACTTTATCAAAAGCTTATCTAGATAAACTTTATCAAAATATTAGGTAGATAAACTTTATCTCTATGAGTTGAAAGATAAATTTTATCTCTAAATTCTTTCTTTTTCATTTAATTCTACAAACTCTATTAGAATTCTAATGCCACGTATTAGTAATTTTTAGGTGATAAACACAATCATTCATATAAATCTATAGCTTGATGAGAGGGACTTGGATTTCATCTCGATGCTCGGTGGTCTTTTGATTTCGCGGTTGGTGGATTCGAGTTTATCTCACAAGAATGCTTTGCAAAGGTGTATTGAGCATGCAAAGCTTTGGCTTTTGAAGTCTGATCAGCCCATTGAAGCAAATTCGGCCATTACTTGTATGAATTAGTTCTTCCAATTTGTTAATTTGCAAATTTGGGGACTTCCTTATGTTCTTTAATTGATGGTTTATTTTGTAGATTCTGGGTTGAGAGATCCTAAAAGATGTTCAAGCTAGCTGCAAAAAAAAGAACTGGAAGAGCTTGTCCAATTAATTTCAGTGTGAAAGCCAAGAGTTAATGCAAAGGTCAGTGTATCAATTACTATTATTTTTACTATTATATCATACATTTGTTTTGAAGTATTTTGTATGGTTCTTTGCATGTTCAACTATTTTATGATATTATGTTTCTAAATCATTGTTTGATTACTATTTACGTGAAAAAATATATACTTTTAATGGGTTGGAGTATTGTTGAACCAATACTGTACAAACCAGGTTTTTATTGAATTGATAGTTTATCAATTCCTATGTTTTAGTTTAGTAATTCCTATGTTTACGTTACTTCCTATGTTCTGTGACACTTAATTTAATGTCAAGCAATTTTTTAAGAGATTGGTGTGACAGGTCAAATATTCAGCATAATTGAGGTTAGTTTATTAATTCTTATGTTTTAGTTCATTAAATTGGTGTCGCAGGTTGAATATTCGGCACAATTGAGATTAGTTTATTAATTCCTATATTTTAGGTGGTGTTTGGTAACAACAAGTTTTCATTTTTTTTGTTGTTGTTTTTAATTTTTCAAAAAAAAATGTTTAGTGAATGTTTTTGTTTTTTTCCCTGCTATGTTTTAAAAATAATGACAAAATTTGGAACATCCAAAAAACATAACAAAGCGAAAGCCTCCTCCTCCAATTAATGAGGTCTCGATTTCAATCCCCCTTAGCAGCAAAAGTTTCATTTTTTTCCTTACAATATAAAAGGCATGAACAGTTGACTTCTCATATGTCTGCTCGTATCTCCACTTTGAATTTTTTTTTTGTTACAGATGTCTGATTTTTGTTTCAGATTTGTAGATCCCTATTTTTTTTTGCAGGTCTATACTCATTTATCTCCTCTGTTATATTATTGTTTATACTTCAATGGAACCATTGATATTTCTCTTGTTGATTGTTTAGATCTATGATGATATTGTTCAGATTTTGGCCTATTTTTGTAGATCTGTAATTTATTTTTACAGATCTATACTGTATTATTTCAGATCTAAGGTTTAAATAGAAGCAATGTTATTGAAGCATTTTTGCCTCTTACAGTATCTTTCTCCATCCTCACTCGAACCCCACAGACCCAATGGCTGGTGTCGACAAAAAAACACAATTTTTTTTTCAGGACTCATGGCTGGTGTCGACAATTGGCTCATGCTGGTAATCTATTAGAACTTGTAGATGAGAGAATGAAATATGACTACAATAGGGACCAGGCAAGCTTGTCCATCAATACCATTTAAGTTTTCTCCATCTCCCCCTTCAAAATTACTGAGCAAGTCAAGAAGAAAGCAAAAGATGTTCATAATACACCCAATTAAAGCATAAATTACAACACCCACCCAGACAAACTATTTCATTCCCTTACAATAACTAGTATTCAATTACAACCCCACCCACACAAGCTTTTGACTAAAAACTTCAAAATTTATTATCACTTGACAGTTGTGAGTGTGAACTAAAATGATTTCTAATGAATACCAAGCAAAATAAAAAGACTTGCTATAACCATCAAAATGAAATTTTTGCTCTTGCAATATTTCATAATCTCTCTTTTATATTTCATCATTCTTATCTCTACAATCAGAGTCATAAACACCACCACAACCATCAAGTTGCTTTATGACTGTTAAGTGTGAATTTCAACTTGCTTTAACAGGTTACATGCTTATGATTTTTTAATTCAAGTATGAATTATGAATTGATTTAACATGTTATATGCTTATGTTTACATATAAGTAATTGTGATTTGAGAGAGTGGTTTAAGTGTGAGAGTGTTTGATGAATGTTTGGAGTTGTTTGTTATGTAGATTGGAAAAAAAGGATAACGATGTTGTTGAGGTTGGGGCTAAGAAAGGTGATGGGGCATGGACGTCTAAAAATGAGGCCATTTTTATTGACTTGATGGATTTAGAAGTACCATGTCGTCCTAAAGGCACAGCTACGTTTGAAAAGGATGCCTTGAACATAATCTTAGTGCAACTAAGCGCCAAGACGGGATATAATTACAACTTTGAGCAGCTGCAAAACAAATACAACACTTTGAGATTAATGTATAGTGCATTTAAGAAGTTATTGAATGAAACAACTGGAGTAGGGGGACCCAGAGAGACAGACAATTACTTAATCTGATGACGTCTGGAAGAATTTGTGCAAGGTAGCCAATTATTTTTAAAACTCTTAAGTATTATTATGTCTATATTTGTCAAGACTTTAGTATTTATTAGTTTTCATGCCTGCTAGGTGAATAAGCAGCTAGACAATTCAAGAAAAAGGGTTGCCT